CGATGAACTAGAAAACGCACTCTCACGACGACCAGTAAACGTGCACTACACCACCCTTCCGCATCATCAGTTGATGGCTAGCAGCAAAGTGCCGGACGTATCCGAATCACCCCAAGCAAACATCTTAGCACGGCCAATGAAAAATTGACGACTGCAACCGTTCCGCTCTCTTCACAGTTTCCAGCTCCATTTCATAATCCTTTTTGAAGGGATAAAAAAAGAAAAACTGGGTGAATTTTTAAAGAATCAGGAACACAGTACAGATAAAATTTTATGATTCTCAGTATCTTAACAAAGTATGTTGCGAAGAAGAGATGACTACTTAAGTATTGCATCATCGCTACTGATCTTCAGATCATAAACCTCAAAAACTGGTATTCAAACGCATTATATTTAACTTTAAATTACAACAAGCGGAATCTTTGCTTCATTTATAAACAGAAGGGGACAAAACCGTTTTTAAAACCAATTATAATACAGGTAAACAACGTGAGCAATTTAATCACATCCGTGGAAGTTATTTTACATACCGGTGGGCAAAACTTGAAAATAATTACAAAAAACCAGAAAAACGTGATTTCCCTTAGACACGGCAATGCCGTTTCCCACAGCGCCATAGCAGAAACAATTTTTTAAGTTACGTTGTAACCAACTAGCTTTAAGAAAGAAAAAAAACACCTCTAATCACAAAAGTGAACGGCTCTTAGAACATTACAAACGTGACAAATATATAGAAAAAAAAAACCACTTTCTTGTGTGATTTACTTAAATGCAAGAAGACAATAAGGAATTAAAAAGTAGTTATTATAAAAAAAGAAATGCTTAAGCATTGCTCTTTTTCACCGACTGACATAATAAAAGCGCACAAAATTCTGCAATAGGCGAGAATAAGGGCAAGATTTCACAGCGAAAATTACTCCAACATTTCGAATTCATCAAAACTGTCATGCGAATCGTTAAGTTCAGTATAGTCTGAAATAAACTCAAAAATTATTTAGCTAGATATTTTCTTCAAACAACAGTTAGGCTGAACCGTCTCAGAAGTTTTTTAATTTTCTGGTCTTTCATCTTTTCTCCCCAATAAAAACGAAAAACAATTGCCACCAATAAACACAACTTTACTCGCCCACTAAGAAGAAATTTTGCACTTGAAAATAAAACCCAGGACTGTCACAAGGAGAAAAATTGATAAATTTCAGAGTGACTAAGCTCTAATGTTACTTTGAACACTTAATTACTAATCTACAAAGTAAAGTGACAAGAAATAAAAAAAAGAATGATGAGTAAAGAATAATTTCTTAACTGAACTATTCTGCTTCTGCAAGTTATCAGAATCTTATACAAGTAACACCATTCAATTACTTTCGCCCACAAAAACCATCGTTTTCTAACAACAGCTCGAAAGAACAACATTTTTTTTATCCGTCCCAAAATCATCTTCTGATTATAAGTTAAATAATTAATATGAAGCTTATATACTTGTTATTCCTAAACTGCTCCTTACCGGTCAAAATAGTCCAGCCACCTAACGATAACTGTGTCCAAAAAAAAATTGGAAAAGAAGTTCCATAATGTTTAAAACTGTTTCCTTAATAAATACTAAGAACGCTTGCCATAAGCCTTTTGCAATCCTTAAAATTTAAAAATACGGCATAAATTATATTAGTTTTATGTGTTTTACATAACTTTTATTGCTGGACCGTAATTACAAATATATATA